GCGGAGACAGGCCCAGGAGGACAACATGGTGGAGCTTCTAGTGAAAGACGGGAAGAGGCCAAACGCACTTGCTTCTTCCCCTTAGTGTCTCTTAGTAAGACAGCCACAGTTTGCCTTGTTTATGCCTATTGTCCCAGCATAATTAGTAACTGGCTCCCTCTTTCTCTTTATGGATTATGTTTTAGCTCTCCTGTTGTAAGCCTTCATGTTCTAGTTTCTTTTCTTTTTTATAGTAAGATAGGCCTGTGACTGCTTTAGGCTAGGATGACTTCTCCTTCCCCATGTCAATACCCTCTGCCAGTTCTAAAGCCTAAATGAAAACCAGAGTTTGAGAAGACACGGGATGGGGAAAAAATTATGCCTAAGATAGGGCTAAATATGCTTCCATTTCATATTATTTCAACCAGTTCACTAGGTGCAGAATCTATAAAAAATAATCTGGTCAAAGGCCTAGCTATTAATATTACAAAAATTTATTTTTCCTGTAAAAATCCATTCTAGCCATGGCGAGTAGGTAAGAATTCTGGAATTTGGACCAGAGGGGGGGAAAAAAATCTTCCTGTCACAACTAATACATAATTAAAAAAGAAAAAACAAAGGAAGACAAATGCCATGTGACTTCACTAATATGTGAAGAATAAAAAACAAAATAAACAAAACAAAAACAAACTCATAGATACAAAGAAAAAAACTGATGGTTGCCAGATGGGAGGAGGGTTAGGGGGATGGGTGAAAAAGGTGAAGGGATTAAGTACAAATTGGCAGTTACAAAAATAGTCACGGAGATGTAAAGTATGACACAGGGAATATAGTCAATAATATTGTAATAACTATATATGGTGTCAGATGGGTACCACCTGACTTATCGGGATGATCACGTCACAAGTTATATAAATGTCTAACTACTATGTGTACACCAGAAACTGATATTGTATGTCAACTATAATTTACATATATATATAAATAAAAATCTTAGGTTCTACTTTTCCAACCTACTCAGGTCCAAATGGAAATGTGTTTGTTGAGGAATAGAGGTAGTCTGAGATATACCAGTGATATGAAATATCTAATTTCTAATACTATTTCTTTCATGATTCTTTTCCTTGAAGACAAGGTCTCTACCTTCATTTAAACCAAAGCTCATTACAAGCCTATGTGTATTCAGAAGTCCAATTTACATACTAAAATCGTGACTAAAACATTCTATACATACTCCAAAGAATATAAAATTGGTATTCAACACATGTTATTTCAAAGAATTGCATGGAAATATAAAAACTAGGCTTAAAAAATTTCATATTAACAATATGAAGATAAAATACACTGGCGGTATCTTGGGTGAAAAACTTACAATTTCACTCACATATGAAACAAGAAATTTCTAGAATAAACCTGAACAACTACAGGCATCTAATATATTGGCAGATATTTCCTATTTCTACATTATCTAGTACTGAAAACCCTCTCCTCAGTTCCAATGCTCCTACCATAATCGTCAATTGTTTCTTTGCAATTAATTACTGTATTGCTTTTTTCTTCTTCACAATTCTATCACACCAGCCCTACCTCATAGCACCACCAACACAACAGCCACAGCAGCTAGTTACTGAGCGCTCACTAGGTGACAGGTGCTTCTCTGAGAGCTTTATGTGAATTAACTAATTTAATCCTCATAACAATCTTTTAAGAAATATTATCCCTAACTATAGAAGTGAGAAAATGAAGCAAAGAGAAGATAAGCTCATAAATGACAGTACTGGAATCTGAACCCAAGCAATAATCATATCCTTTCATTAGAGTCACAAAGCACTTCGCACCTTCAAAAATCTGCGTCCTGGTTACACAATCTCATCTCTCTTCTTGAAATTCACTCAACATAATGAGGCTCAATGATTACTGTCATTAAAACATTCCCCTGTTCAACAATCTATTTTGCCAAAAAATTAGTTTTAGGCAAAATGAATGTGTACAAAGCAGGTGTTCAAGATTCTTTTCGATCTGGACCCGGCTTCTTTCTGGCCTCATTCTCTAGCCCATCCCACGAACACTACGCTCTAGGTGACTGGGACCACATGCTCATTCTCCTCCAGGGCACAGAATGTAACAGGCACCAAAAATGTTTGCTAGATTAATGACTAAAAGGCTTCATGGTTTTTCTGATACCTAACTGTAGGTTACTGAAGTGGCAGGTTCATGAGCCTTCTTTATGAATTCCTTAAAAAGTAGTAAGATAATGTTAACTGTGTAAAAATTCAAAATTTCACTCATATCAAAATAAATTAATTCAGAACCATTAAATCAGATTTTTTTTTTCTCTTTTCTTTAGCAAAAAGGTAGCAACTGGCAGTAATATCCAACAGTGTGATTCAAGAAATAAAAGGACTCAGTACTACCAAGAATTTTACTACTAACCTGTTGAGGAGTAATGGTATCTCTATAGCTTGGTAAAATTTTTAGGGTGACACTCCCACTGATATTTTTCAGTAATTCTTGTAATTCCTTTGGATTGTTTCCAACCTCGTGGCCATTGACCTCTTTAATGATATCTCCCACGTGAAGCAGGCCTTGTCGATCGATCATGCCTCCATGGAGGATTCGGGCAATTACCAGATCATTATTTTCAACCCGAAATGTTACACCCTAAAGGAAATAAGGAATGAAATTGTCACTGAGTTCAGATTTTTAGGGAAAAGTCTTATGAATATGTATACATAAGAAAACACTTCTAAAAGTAGGTACATGAATCCTCCTATTGTTCCCATGTTCTCTCCTGTCTCAATATCCTAATCTCATTGAACCGTGTGTTCCTGAATACCACCCATTACCTTAAAACTGAAACGCATCAGGCTGCATTCCACAGGATACAGGGAAGCTCAAAGACTAAGAAGAGATAGCTGTGCATTCTGATGGCCTTGTTCCCGGCTTTTCTTTTATTCCCATTTTTACTGTTCTTACGGTCGGGACCCAGGAATAATTTTAGCAGGAAACTGTAAACTTCACTATCTAAGGAGCCCTTCCGCATCTTCAATTTTAATAACAACTTTCTTCTGTGTTTTGATACTGTCATTAGCCAGCAACCTGAGATCATTTCTTCTCAGGGTAAAGGAAAAAAATGAAGTACTTCACTTCTGAAATTTCGCTACCCATTGGCAAACTACTTCTGGCCTCTATTTCAGTTTAACTTCTTATCTTGGTTTAATTTTGTATGTTAAATCAAGTTGAGAGAGCATCAGCTGTGTATTTTATCCACAGGCCAAAAAAGACAGAACAAACACAAATAAAGTTTTCATAATGATACAAATTATGAAAAAGAAAAAAAACGAGACAGAGTAGTAACCGAACCACAAGGATGTCAGATTTCAGATTTAAGAAGGCGCTGATTTATCTACTCACCAGGGGTTCCCCAGCTCTTTTGTGAATACCAAGAATACGAATGGCATCTACTGGTAATAACTGATTATTGACAGAATTATTCATTTCCGGGCTTGATGGAGGTGAATCATAACACTTTGATGCCACAATATCATGGGCCTCCAAGAGTGACTGTAAGGGTTAAAACAGCCTGTGATTATTAATTACTGAAGATAACTTAGTTCATTATCCCCGTGGAATACTAAAAATGTCCAAGGCACACATGATTAAATCCACGAATATGAGTTAAATTAAATGCATACAGAATCTTTTAAAGAAATATAAACATATCTTTAATTATCAAAAAATACCATACTCCTCGTTTTAAAAGACTTGAAAAGACTGACAGAGTTTTGTGACTTTTTTTTAAAGTGGCATGTTCATTGGTAACTGAACTTCAATTTCCCAGGGTGGTACAACGGAGGCCCTGGATTTCATTCCCACCATCGTCATTACCATCATCATCATTCAGCATTCATCACCGATCCTTATTAATTAGTTATTACACAAACTCAGCTGGCAGGGACCCTAATTTTTACCCTAAAATTCTTATGTTAAAATGCCATATATGTTTACATGTACGAAATGTCTATTTAAAAAACGTCCAATAGAAAATGAAAAAATGTCAGCATCTTATATCAGTAATAGGAAATTTTATATTACCAATAAAGGCTATAGTCTATAAAATAAAGATTTTTAGGGAGGGGGAAAAACAAGCTAGTTACGATCTTGAATACAATATACTTTTACTTTCTACATATAATACATATGTGCTATCATCAGGAATGACTTTTTGGTCTAGCTTTCTAGGCATTTCTTATCTTTTGTATACTCATTTTTATTTTTCATTTATACTGTAATTGGGTATAGTCAACATAAAGCTAAGTTTAAAAAAATGTTTAATGGAATGCAAGTTCAAAAACAAATCAAAATAGAAAAAAGAGAGCAAATGTCAACAGGTTTAGAGGAGAAATAATCAGCAGATGGGCTTAATTGGTAATTTCTGGTCATTTTATGAAAATATGTGTAAGAGACTAAATAAAAATTCAAGAAGAAAAAATTTATAAATCCATACGTAAGGATTATTCCAATAAATGCTGGAAGTCACTCGAACCTCTAACCTGGGATGCTTAGTTTTCACCCTATACGCTCTTCTTAGGAAGTGTTATTCACTCCTGCGACTCAAACCACTACTTACACACTGCTAACTCCCAGTTTTAGATCTTTGGTCCAGAACTCTCATGAGCTTCAGATTCCCATACTGAAAACTTGCCTACGACTGGACAAAATGATGGTAATTGGAAAAATCAGTAAGAGTTAAGGATTATAGAAGGTTGAAATATATTGAATTAATTAAAAATCCATAAGTCCACAGTGCTATTTAAAAAAACAAAGGACTGAAAAAACATATTTGTTACTATTTAAGAGTGCTATTTTAAACTATACATTGAAATTTGGTAAAGGAAGGATTAAACATTTCCTTGACTTTCAAGCAGGAAAAGCAGTATAGGTTAGCTAAAAGCTCTACTTTATTTAAGGAAAAGCTCTACTTTATTTAAGAACATCAGCTAATAAATGTAGAATGAGAGAATTTGAAAAATGTCATTTTGCAACTTCCAAGGAAGATACTGATTCAGGAAAGGACTGTTAATGTGTGTTCATCGGTAGGTAAACGGCCAAAAGGAAGCAGCGTTTGTATAATGCTCGAATAGTAACACATTAGATTACTTCCTAGTGCAGAGGCTTTCAAAGGAAGAATTAGACTGTCAGTGCCCTTAATCAAGGGAACTATCTCAGCATCCACAGTGGTGGCCAAGCAGGTAATATACATCTTGTGACGTAATTTAATTCATGGTGCATCACATCACTGAAGATGCAGTCTAGTTCCAAATAATTAACTTGAATCATCAACCTTTTAGACAGAACTTCTGTTTACAGGAAATAGAAGGTATAACTAACAGCACAGTAAGGCAGCAACCAGTGTAGCAATTTAGCTACACTATAATGCATTAAGGGAGCGGGGCAGGACAACGGCCTGGTCTCTTCAAAAGGTCAACTTGATAATCAAGGAAGAGAGGGATGGTCCAACCAGATGCTACACAGGGACCTAGGTTGAAAATCTGTATGTATAAACCAGCTTTAAAGAATATTTTGGCATCGAATTAAGATAGCTGAATATAGTATGTGTACTACATGAGATGGAGGTCCACTGAAATAGAAAAGTGGAAATCAATGATTGAGAAAAAAGGTAAGTAACAAAATCGCTTGTGGAAAACTACTTCAATCAGTAAAAGAAAAAAAAAAAAATATATATATATATATATATATAGACACACACACACACACACACACACACACACACACACACACACATACACACACATATACATATATATA